AGAATAGATAAAAAAAAAATTCAGTAAAGTTGCAGGATATAAAGCCAACATAACAAAAGTCAGTAGTATGTCTTTACAACAGTAATGAAGTGGCTTAAAAAAAAAAATCAAGAAAGCAATCCCATTTACAATATCTACCAAAAAAATAGGAATAAATTTAACCAAGGAGGTGAAATATCTCTACAATGAAATCTACAAAACAATGATGAAAGAAATTGAAGAGTGCACATACACACACACACACAAAATGGAAAGACATCCCATGTTCATAGATTGGAGGAATTCAAACTGTCAATATGACCATATTACCCAAAGTGATCTACAGATTCACTACAATCCCTACCGAAATTCCAATGATGTTCTTCATAGAAATAGAAAAAATAATCTTAAAATTCATACGGAACCACAGAAGACCCCAAATAGTCAAAGTAATCAATCCAGAGCAAAAAGAACAAAGCTGGATCATCACATTACTTGACTTCAAAATATACTGCAGAAAGCTATACTTACTGTTGAGAAATAGGCTAAGAGACATGAAAAGTTTTAGGAGTTTTGAAGGGATTTGCCTTGAAGGAATCTGTGGACATGTTAGTTCACAGAATAGAAGCTGCTTCCAACAAGGGAGGCATTGTCAGAGGATTTTTGCAAAGCAACATTTCTTCCATGCTGCCGGCCATCACCTTAAGCTTTTATGCAAGGCAGAAGCTCAGTTTGGGTCCTTGGTGGAGAAGCTGATTAAAATGCCTGCCCAGAAGATAATGTGCAGCTGGAACTATCCTAGACTTCAAGGTTATTCCTGCTTCACTCCTGACCACATGTCTCTGTGTTTAGAAGAAGTAAGTTAGAGTGGTACACAGACTCAGTATTCTCATTTTATACATTTTATCTTTAATTTGTATGCTCAGCTAGGTCTCTTTCAACTTAGGGCTTAACATGCTTATTTTAGAAGAATTGCATAACCATCTATTCTTATAGACAGAATTAGGTAAAGTTCCCCTGGAAACCTCAAAAAATGAGTTATAATTCTCTAACAAAAGACAACTATTTGCTGTAACAATGAATACTGATGTGGGATTTCAGTCGTGGCCTCACAGCTCATGGGAATGCTGGAGGTCCCCTAATTCCCCCATCATTTAAACTGCACTTTGTCTCTGTTTCAATCATTTCTCCGTATATATTATTTCTGTATTTCCTATTATTTCCAAATCCCTTGTGACAATCCTGCCTTGGGGCCTGTTTTGCTGGGAGAGTAGCTAACTCTCGGCAACTTACTAATCGAAAAAGCATGGAAGTGGCACTTAAACAGACACATAGACCATTAGAACAGAGTAGAGAACCCAGGAATAAATCCACATTTGTATAGCCAACTGATTTTTGACAAAGGCACCAAGAACATACATTGGCAAAAGGATAGCTTCTTCAATAAATGGTGCTTGGAACAGTGGATACATATGCAGAGGAGTGAAACTAGACCTCTATTTCTCACTATATATAAAAATTAACTCAAAATGGATAAAAGACTCAAATGTAAGACCCAAAGTTTTAAAACTACTAGAAGAAAACACAGGAGAAATACTTTAGGATGTTGGTCTGGGCAAATATTTTATGAGTAAGACACCAAAAGCACAGGTAATGAAAGCAAAAGTAGACCAATGGGATTATATCAAACTAAAAGCTTCTGCACAGCAAAGGAAATAATCAACAGAGTAAAGAGACAACCTGCAGAATGGGAGAAAATATTTACTAACTGTTCATCCAATAGGGGATTAATATCCAGAATATACAAGGAACTAAGTCAACAATATAAACAAATAATCCAATTAGAAAATGGGTAAATGATCTGAATAGACATTTCTCAAAAAAAGACATACAGGTGGCCAAAAAGTATATGCAAAAGTACTCAACATCACTAATCATTCGGGAAGTGTAAATAAAACCACAATGTGAACCCATTTTACCTCAATTAGAGTGTCTATCATCAAAAAGACAAAAAATAATTCTGGCAAGGATGTAGAAAAAAGGGAACTCTCACAAACCATTGGTGGGAATGTAAATTATTCAGCCATTATGGAAAACAATATGGAGGTTCTTCAAAAAAAAAAAAAAGGTAGAACTACCCTGTGATCCAACAATCTCATTACTGAGTATTCAGATCAGTATATCAAAGAGATATCTGCACTCTCATGCTGTTTGCAGCACTATTCACAGTAGCCAAGATATAGAATCAACATAAGTGTCCAATAACAAATGAATGGGTAAAGAAAATATGGCATATATACACAATGGAATACTATTCAGCCATAAAAAGAATGACATCCTGTCATTCACAGCACCATTGATGAGCCTCGAGGACATTGTTCTAAATGAAATAACTCAGGCATAGAAAGATGAGTTCTCACTCATATGTGAGAGCTAAAAACAGTTGACCTCATAAAAGTAGAGAGTGCAATCATGTTTACTAGAGGCTGAGGGAGGGGGACATAGAGAAGGAGGTATAGGAGAGGTTGATTAACAGAATTAAACAAACCAAGAATCTGAAAAATTGCCTGGTGAGCAGAAAATGTGTAAAACTGACTTTAGAGGTATGGAAAAAAGAAATGGTCAAATCTGTTTGTGAGGAGTTGAGAAGAAATTATTCGTGACACTGATAATCACTTGAAGGAAGATACTAATACTTGATTTAGAAAAACTGCTGATCTGTTATTTGGAAAGCAGGTTTTAACTCTTTGTAAACATACATATATAATATTGTCCTATCTGACTCTTCCTACCTAAATTACCATTGTTATAGCCTTTGTCTAGTTCCTGCAAGGTCTGGTGGTAGAAAGTTTAACAGAATGGCAGGGTGCTCACATTTCTCCAGCCCTGGGAGCAAGAGGACAGCCAGGCTTTGAACCTCATACCTTAGCGCAGGATGTGTCAGCTTCCACACATAACCCTGTGAGAAACCTAGGCCCCAGCATACTAGAGTATTTTATGGATGAGAGCTGCTGCCACAACAGTATCCACTTGGTGATGTGGGAATCATACTTGCCTTGTGAGTAGAACAGGTTAGGAGAAAAGAAAGTTACTATATTTGAAGTACAAGGAGCAGTGTTTACTCCTATGTTGTCTTACCAAAGTAGGGAGAGTAAGACAAATACTGTCATTTTTGTTTCAAATCTCTGTAAGAACTAAAGAAATGATGCAGTACTTGATATATCTGTTTTATTGTTTGATTACAGGAAAGCCAGACTACAAATTACTGAGCTCCTCCCTGGGGAAATTGAAAATAACTTACAAAAAAATCAATCTGAGGAGGATGCTAAGAAAATTGAAGAACTGCTAAACCTTCCTAGAAACCCTTCAACAGCAGATAGTCAAGAGAAGGACTAAAAATGCTCTGGACTTGAAACTCAGTTGGAGAGTTGAAGGGAGCTGTGTTGCTATACCCATTGCATGTGACAGACCACTCTTTGGTCAGCCTGCTGACAAATGTAATTGCTGGCACCTGTGGCAATGACTTGCTCTGATCTTTTTTCAACCATGATTAGAGCTATTATGCTCTCACTTTATTTATTCTTAAATTTAAATACAAATGTAAATGATCTATCAGTCAATCTGTACACATATATTTCTTTTCCCTGGATTTTATGACACTGAATAAAACATTTCCTAAAAGGTGAATCCTACCATTAAAAAGGTACTCTAAGAATCACCGGGAGGAGAAGAAAGAACCAGGTAAGGCAAATGGTCTATGAAACTTGTGTGCCCTTGCATCCCAGAGGCCGAATGGGCCTGAATATATGTTTGGTTTTGATTTTAATAAAAATCAAAGATGATTCCTATGCTATTTGGAAATACAAATTTAACAAAAAGGAAGTAGATCAGCATTATTAAAGAAACAGTCCAACTTTGTTTCTTCTCTTAGTCCTGCTGACAAAGTATTTGTGGAATTGTATGCATCAGTTACTGAGCCTACACTTGACCTTAGCAAAAGCAGAGGAGGGATGCAGGAGTTACTTAGAACGGACACATAGTCCCTCCACTCAAGGAACTTGCTGCCTATGAAGGAAGCTATCCTGCAGATTGTAACTGATACTAAATGAGAAGGAAGAAAATTACTGTGTTAAGTGTATGGAGAGGAAAAAACTGCTAGTATTTTATGTTGTTCTTAGACCTCTCTGATCCTACTCTGAGAATACTTTTATTCCACAAGAGCAAGGTTTGTGAAGCAGCATGTGATGTAGTAGCGAAAACCCTGGGCTCTAGAGGCAGACCACTGGCTTTGATTCCAGCTGTGTGGCTTAGCAGCTTTGTAACAGATAGTAAAGCCATTTTACTTAAAGTATCAGTTTTCTCATCTGCCAAATGAAATAATGTCTATCTCAGAATGGATATTAAATGAAATGATGCATATAAAGCATTTAGCACAATGTTCTGGCACACAGGGCATTATACAATAAATATTGGTAGTTATAAGGATGTAAGAACCTTTGCAGCAGTATATTGGCACCATGATTTACATGTTACCACCACACTCCATACAGCATGTTTTTCTTTATTATCCCATTCATAAATTGCTGACAGATTAGTCAATCTCTTCATTGTTTTATTCACATCCACATATAGGTTAAATATTTTAACTACAAATAAAACTAGACAGTTTTTTTAAAAAATAATTTTATGTATACTACAGAAATATTTATTAGAATAATAAAATACTCTTTGAAAAATAGTATTAACATATTTACCAATTGTAACAATAATTATAAACAATTTAATATAATAATAGTGTTGTCTGACCAGGCATGGTGGTTCATCCTAGCACTTTGGGAGGCTGAGGTGGGAGGATCGCTTGACGTCAGGAGGTCAAGACCAGCCTGAGCAAGAGTGAGACCCTGTCTCTACTAAAAATAGAAAAATTAGCTAGGTGTGGTGGTGTGTACCTGTAGTCCCAGCTACTTGGGAGGCTTAGGCAGGAGAATCACTTGAGCCTAGAAGTTTGAGGTTGCTGTAAGCTAGGCTGACACCACAACACTCTACTCGGAGCAACAGAGTGAGACTCTGTCTCAAAATAAAATAAAATAATAGTGTTGTGTGTTGAGTTTTATAGCTAATTATCTCTTGAGGTCTTTTTCTGTTCTAAATTCTTATAAACTTACTACCTGTGTGTGATTTAGTTTTAAAAATAAACCCAAGGTGGCATGTAATGTGTTATACAGAAGTTTCTTAGACTGTATAGTATAATCTTTTTCCCTTATACCAAAATTAAATATCTTAAATCCATCCACATTTGAGAAACTTGGTCACCTCTTGCTGTCCAACTCCCAATTTTCAGATGAGAATGTCTGAATGTCCCAGCTTAAGTTGGGTTCACTCCTGGTCCAGTTAATTGTGGAAGGTAGTTTCAGAGAAAAAGTCATGAGTAACATACAAACAGTACTTGGCTGTTTCTGCCTTTTCATTTCTCCGCTGTCAGAAAAATCCAGAAATACCAAAGAAGAAAAGCAACGGTAGGGATCTAAGGAGGCCCTCTGGCATGCTCTTACCACCTCAGACATTTGAAGGTAGCCTACCGCTTAGTACGTACCCAGTAAAAAACAAGCTCATTTTCAACGAGAACTTTCTCATAAATATTTTATTATGGAGTCAAACTAGCATAAAGCCATTTAAAGAGATTATTAGTCCAATATGAACCAGTTGATTGTGTCTTTAGACTATCCCTTTCCAACCTGACTATTGTTTTGAGGTATGTAAATCACTTAACTTACATGTCAGAGGAAATTAGTTTTGGATAGTTCTACTTTCTCCAGCACCTGATGGGAAAGTGGGAGAACAACAAAGGAGAACACACTCAAAAATGGAATACTGGCTAAATGCCAGTAATATTTTCATTATCTTCATGTAGATGTACTTATTGTCATATTTCCCACACATTACATTTGACTTTTTAAAATAGCAACATAATATTTTTCTTTAGTAATTGCATTAGGAAATCAGATCAAGTCTCTGAAGTTGACTTGATGTTGGAATTCTGTCTCCAGAAGCACTTTGACAGATGTCATACATACACACAACCAGTTAACAGGCCAGAGTCAAACCGATGAAGGGAGAGAGCACCAAAGCCTGGAAATCTGGGTTCTGGCTCTGGCCTTTATAATTCAAGCCACCTCCCTGGGCCTCAGTGCCTTTGTCATCAATGAGACTAAAGTCCCTTCCAGACCTGAAGAGTTCTGTCTTTCAAAACTCCTTGATCAAGGTCACTGGAGCTACTTCTGTGCCCACCGTATTCCTCTGGACACTTCCAGAAAAGCAACTGAAGTGAAGAAACTCCTAGAGAACAGGATACGTGAAGGGCAAGGCTCAGTAATCCTGGCCATCTGAAGAAGTTCCCAGAAGTCAAATGCAAATGGAGGTATGACCTGAGAAAACAAATAAATAAATAAGTACTTCAAACTCTAAATTAGCGAGGAAGGAAAACATTTTAAATCTATATTTTTTATCTCAAGGCCAGGGGTATTCCCAACTTGAGGTAACATTGTAGATATTAATCTTCATAGCTAAAGAATATGAAGGGAGCGTTAAATTATGAGAGAACTAGTCTGACAACTTTTACTACATTTATGAGGCAAATGTTTCTTAAACATCAGCCATCACTGAACAACCAAGGTACTTTCTATGTGTGGAGCAAACAGATGTTTCTGGCATAGTTGCTCTTCTCAACAAGCCTGCAATCTGGTAAGGTATATATATAATAAGTAAGATGTGGCACCTGAAAATAAACCCAAGGTACCTCAACTTTCACAGGTCAAAACTGAACTATTTAGGGCAGCCATAACTACCCTGGACCTCATATCAGTCTTTTGGATTCCAGTGTTCCAAAGTTTCTCTTACATGAGAAGACCTGAGGATTTTAGGAGAACATAAAGTCAATACAAGTTAACAATATAAAGTGGCTGACACAAAAGTTAATGCTGTATTAGGCTCTCTTAACAGGAAGAACATTCCAGACCCCAGAGAGTAATTACCCCATTATATAGAGAGTCATTAAGACCAAATCCAAAGTCTAGGGCTCCATTTACTGACTACATGTAGCGTGTGCATGTGAAGAGCAATCGAAAGAACTGAGGATGTTTAGACTGATAAGTTGATAAGCTGAAAGTTAAATGTTTTGAAGCTTTTCCTGTACTGTAGGCACTGGGGTCTCTTCTGAGTTTCTGAGTGCGAAAATGACTTGGCAGAGTAATTCTTTATGAAATTTGACTCCATGATTGCTCAGTAGGATGAGTCTGTCAATAAGAGGCAGAGAAACCAATGCGGATGTTACTGTGTTAGTACAAAGTGTCCCCAATCTGTGCCTGTGTACTGAGGGAAAATGAATGATCAGATTAAGAAGTTAGCCCAGGAGTATTACTTCAAAATGAACACAAGTAGTGTTTTATAGCTAATGAAAGTCATTGAATTGGTTGACAAGAGGGGAACATTTCAAGGTGGCAGACTGGCTTAGTAAGGGAAAAGGCACGTTAAGTAAATTGCAGGTGGGGAGAAAGAGATAGATGCAAAGCATCCTGTGTCTATTTAGAGTAATCTGAATGAGGTTTTTGAGAAGGTGGGGTAGGAGGTAAAAGAGCTTAAATTTGGTACTGAGAGGCAGAGGAGACTGCCTCATGGTCCACATGCCCTCATGCACCCCACATTGGCAGAGAAGAGCTAACGGAGGCAACCTTCAGACGATCTGTTCAGCTGATACTTCTGCAGCTCCTATAAAGATAGGTGACATCCTCTCCATTTCCAGTCCCTCCTCATTCCTTCTCTCTCTCCTTCTTTGGGCACATCCTTGGAAACAAGCATAAATGACAAAGACTATGAGTGAGTTTCCTTTAATTCATGCCATAAATGTCAGCAAGAATAGCAGTTCTCAAACCAGGGATTATTTACAACTCTCTCCAGCCCAGAGACTTTTGGCAATGCTTGGAGGAATTTTTGGTGGTCACAACTGCAGCATAAAGTGAGTAAAGATTAGGGAAGCTGCTAAACATTGTACAATGCACAGAACAACACTCCAAAGAATTATCTGCCCCAAATACCAACAATGCTGAGGATGAGAAACCCTGAACTAGATAGGCAAGGCTGGAGAGTTTGTATCAGAAACATCCAGACCTATCTATCCTACCCACGAGGTGAGTTTTTTATAGCACAGGGTCTCTAGTGACTTCATGGAGCTTTGGCATTTTTGTGTATGTGCAGAAGCCTGGGAAAATCAAATGTTGGTCTTCCAATTTTCTTGGCTCGTTATACATGATTTCTACTGCAGAAAAGGGCTGGTACCCCTTCATGGTGGTTATGACAATAGCTTTGACCTAGCAGTTCCTTTTCATTATTAAATGAAAGAAGAGATTGAGGTCATCATATATATAAGGCCAAAAATGTAATCTGCAGGGTAAAATATCTTAGCCATCTTTCATCAACCATTCCTGATCTTTCATCCAAAAATGTATTGTGAAGAACTGAAAATTGGTAAAATCACACATGGCCATGCAGTTTCTCAACTTTATTAGTGCATCTCACCCTCCTCTAAGAAAATTATTCTTGACTCCCCCCCTACATCTTGTCATTCTGCCTTTCTTCCAACTTCAAATCAAAGAATAGAATGTCATTTAGCATCAAAAATGTTTTCAAATTAGTCAATAAACCTCAGACTCTCCAAAAAAATGTCAAGTTAGGGAAAAATAAAAGGACTAAACTAGAATGTGTCTTGAGGGCAGTGACCTCTTGTCAGAGAGATGCTGAACCATGCTGATAGAGTTTCGCTTCTGGGAATTGAGATCAGGATGACAGTTTGATAGTACTTACTGTAGACCAAGTAGCCTATTACTGCAATTACTACAATGACCGCAGGAATCCCTGTAGCTAGTAGGATTGTAGAAGTCTGGGGCGAGGGTAAATTGTTGAGAAAATCTTCTTGCTTAGCTGTGGAGGGAAAAGAATAATGTCAGCTGTAATGTGTTTCCAACTGTCTGATAACCCATTCTATGCCTTCTCTATTGATGCAACTATGGAGTATTCTTTACTTCTTTGTCTGGTCAGCTTTCCAATATGCAGCTGCTAGCATTTTTCTTGCCTAATTCTTCCATAAAAACACACTCTGGGCAACTAATATTCAGAAATCAGATATTAAATGTGAAAAAGACAATCCGAACTTTTGCATTTTACTGTGTTAAGTTGGCATAAGAACGATTCTAATGACATTAGTTTTTTAATTGTTTTATTTCAGCATATTACAGGGGTACAAATGTTTAGGTTATGTATATTGCCTTTGCCCCACCCAAGTCAGAGCTTCAAGCATGTCCATCCCCCAGACTGTGTGCACCACACCCATTAGGTGTGAATATACCCATCGCCTCCTCCCCCTCCATCTGCCCTACAGCCAACGAATGTTACTACTGTATGTGCACTTAAGTGTTGATCAGTTAATACCAATATGATAGTGAGTACATGTGGTGCTTGTTTTTCCATTCTGGGGATACTTAGTAGAATGGGCTCCAGCTCTGTCCAGGATAATACAAGAGGTGCTAGATCACCATTGTTTTTTGTGGCTGAATAAAAACTCCATGGTATACATATACCACATTTTATTAATCCACTCTTGTATTGATGGGCACTTGAGTTGTTTCCGCATCTTTGCAATTGTGAATTGTGCTGCTATAAACATTCTAGTGCAGATGTCTTTTTTATAGAATATCTTCTGTTCTTTTGGGTAGATGCCCAGGAATGGGATTGCTGGATCAAATGGTAGTTCTACTTGTAGCTCTTTAAGGTATCTCCATATTGCTTTCCACAGAGGTTGTGCTAGTTTGCAGTCCCACCAGCAGTGTATGAGTGTTCCTATCTCTTTTAATCCATGCCAACATTTATTGTTTTGGGACTTTTTGATAAAGGCCATTCTCACTGGAGATAAGTGATATTTCACTGTGGTTTTGATTTGCATTTCTCTGATGATTAGAGATGTTGAGCATTTTTTCATATGTGTTTTGGCCATTATTCTGTCTTCTTTTGAAAAGTTTCTGTTCATGTCCTTTGCCCACTTTTTGATTGGGTTGTTTGATTTTTTTCCTGCTGATTTTCCTAAGTTCTGTATAGATTCTAGTTATCAGCCCTCTATTGGATGTGTAACATGCAAATATTTTCTCCCATTCTGTAGGCTGTCTGTTTGCTCTCATGATAGTTCTAAGGAGATACTTTAAAAGCCATCTTGTTTTCATATCTAATTATTATAGCTGATTTTACTATGTATTACTAATAATTAGTTGATGTCATGTTCTAGATATACCATATTTTTTTTCTAACTCTGTTATGCCTTCTCCTTTTCTCTTAACATGTTCTCTTCACATGCACACACCCTCTTACCTTACAGTAGCTGCCTAAAGCTGCAAGAACCACATTGCATTCACTTTCAGATACATATTTTTCAATATACAACCTAGAGCTTCTGAAAGGACAGAAGAGGCCCAGCAAAGAACCCAGAGCAAATGTGGCTTGGTCTGAGCCATCCTGGAAGAGAGCCCTGCAGTCTAGCAATCAGCTGCAGTCTCAGTCCCACAGAAAACACAAGGGGGGCATAAGGAATGATGTGGGTGGGGAGGAGAAAGGTGCTGTATGTGACACTGCCATCCACTCCCCCCCATCAGGAGCATTAGCTACCCCATTTATTCTTCAACCTCTTTGAGGAATAGTTAGCAGCCACAGCTGGAGAAAGGGCAGAGACACAAACTGAACGAATATTAGCAGCCTATCCTCTTCTGGCTTCTCTGAAATGGCTTGCAAATAAACATTAAACATTTACTAACTTCTTTATGTTTATTTTTCTGATTACCAAGCCTAGTGGGTAAATTTCATTCTTTAGCTTACTAGACTATTCATCAGCATTTGGCCTCTTGGAAGCTCCTCCTCCTTGGACTTTTATGATACCACATTCTGCTGTTTCTGTTTGTTGTACTCAGTTTTCCTTACAGGTTTTTCTTGCTCTTCTGGTCCTTTAAATGTTGTCCGCATGATTCTCTCTGTGGTCCCATTCTCTTCTTACTGGCCCCAGTCTGCCTGGGTGATATCATACCAAGCCATAGCCAAGGCTTGAAATGCCATCTGATTTTTAAATCTGTTTGTTGTATTTCTGATCTCATTCTGAGCTGCAGATTCAGTAGCTCCAGCTGCTGACTAGACGGTGGGATGCCAGCATCTCCACCTGTTTAAAATTAAACTCACTGTATTCTTCCCAGAGTCTACCTACCACTCATATTCTCCCATTTCAGTGAATGGCAACACCATTTAGTTACCTAAACAAGAGTGAGGTGTTTTCTTTGTGCTTACTTCCCAGGAGGCACCCATGTACTTTCTAGTCTATATTCAGCATACTTCTGGAATTTACTGCTTTTCCCCAACTCTCTTGCAGCAACTACCTTAGTTGAGTCTTTCTCATCTCCCACTTAGTAGCCTGCAAACTGGTCTCTTTGCCTCAGGTTCCCTAGGCTCTAATAACTCCTCCATATTTCTGTCACAGTAATCATTCTAAAATGCATATTTGATCACAGTGCACCTGCCACTTAAAAGACAAGGGACTTACAAGTACATGAATGGGCCTAAAAAAAAAAAAAAAAAAAAGACAAGGGACAGTTGCCTTTTCCTTTTTCTCTAAAACACCTGACTGTGTTGAGACATCTGGTGATTACTAGGGTTTGCTTCTACAGATCAGAATGGCACAAAAAATAACAAGCCCTTGCTCTTATCCTGGGAATCTAGAACTTTCATAGGCTTTGGCTCACTCATCAATTCCTCTCAGGGGCCATTCCACACCCATCTGCAAACCTCATTCAGTCTAGAGATAGTGTTAAGATGTGAGTGGGGGGAAGATGCGCCAGTAGCAGCAAGCCCCCCCTCTGTGATGCCTGTTAGAAACCGAGTGCGCTGCAGACTCCAAATCCAGAGTGCGCAGCTGTGTGGGGGCATCTGCACAGGTAGCATATTAGTGCCACTCCAATTTACCTTCCAGTCTATCAGGTGTTAACAGCTATGGCAGGCCTAACCTAAAAGAATCACATACCCAATCTGTTTAATTAATAAATTTGAAGGTTTTTCCAGCCCAAGTATTCATACAGCAAAGCTTTACTCACAATGACCTGTAACATTTCTATGAACTATGCACTTAATGTGTATTTGTTTGTGCAAACAGCCCTTGACTACCCATAAATCCATTATTTGCTTTTGAATCCTACTCTAAGTAATGCCTGCATTCCAATTACAGAGATTTGAAGTAGTTATGCACTAAAGCTCTCCTACCACAAAAACAAAACCTATAAATTGGCAAACCACAGCACATGGGCCAAACCTGGACTACCACCTGTTTTAAAAATAAAATTTTGTTGGAACACAGCAATGTCATTCGCTTACATCTTGACTAGGGCTGCTTTTGTGTGCCACAACAGCAGAAACGAGTTGTTGCAACAGAGACTGTATGAGTACAAAGCCTAAAATTATTTACTGTCTGGCTCTTTTCAGAAAATTTTGCCAACCCCTGTCATAGAAAGTCACATATATCCACATTCCAAGTATAAATAATATCCAGAGTAAAACACGATTCAAGCTACTATTACTGATTTATCTCTGTACTACTCCCCACCGTTAGTCAGAATAATCTAAAATTGATTAAATAGTGATATATCAATAAAGTAAAAATAAAGCTTGAATTAATATACTACCCTTACTATATGATTCAAGCCTCATTTAAATGATTGTTTTACAATACATAAAAGATAATTGAGAGTTATGAGTTTGGGGTGAGGATAAAAAAATCATGTCAAAATTCGGTTTATATTTAAACTCATTTTCCCAGGAAATTTTATCTCATTACCCATTGAGAAAAAAAAAGGAAAGAATCTACCTTAAAATTAAAAGATCTAGAGTAAATCATATACTAGAATGAACTACTAGACCATCTAAAATACTTTCTCAACTACAAGAGGAAGATATAAGACATATATTATATACAATACATATTGTATATATTATATACAATCATATTATATTATACACTTATGCACCACTGTATAACAAACTCAGTGTATTGTTTCTTCCTATGCAATCACAAAACCTATCTTTGGGAGTGGAACTGGGCTTGAGGGAGAGGTCTGGTTGTCTTCCATGCAAGTTAGGCAAGTATTTCAAGTATCTGAGTTCTCCTATAATAGACCATTATGGGCTTAACATGCATATATTTATATAAACCTAACTTTTTCATAAGTTCACTACCTGTAGGGTAAAGTATTTGCCAAAAAAATGACCTCTTTTTTCAGGCAACGTCCTCAAAGAGCTTGTCTCTCACCTGTTTACCAGACTTGGTTTGGAATAAATGAGTATTTCTTTAAAAGCACATCCACCCACAAAAGATAATGATTTGATACCATGGGACCATGAGAAAGGTGTCCTAAAACAAAGTTCCAAAGCCCTGAGGGCAATTCCAAAGAAGGAACAAATTTTAGTGCTTTCAATAACAACAATATTGTTACAGTAACTTTCTAAGATGACTATTTGATGGATAGCAGTTATTAGGATGTATAAAATTTAGAATGTTTATTAAAAGAAAATAAAATTAGTCTAGTAACATTATCACCACACCTTTAATATAGTGACTTTAATAAGTCACTATAGCACTTATTGTGTCTAAAAATACTATATAAATGCTATCAAAGTCAATATGACAATCCCAAAATGCATCTGGCTGAGTTATAGTCATCACAGCATAGCCACATTTTGGTCAATGACACACCACATACATGATGGTGTTCCCATAAGATTATAATACCATATTTTTACTGTACCCTTTCTATGTTTAAGTATGTTTAGATACACAATGGTAAAATTGAGTTAAAATTGTTACCATTGCCTCCAGTATTCAGTACAGTGCCATGCTGTTCAGGTTGGTAGCCTAGGAGCAACAGGCTATACCATATAGCCTAGGTGTGTAGTGGGCTATGCTATCTGGGTTTGCATAAGTGCACTCTATGATGTTCCCATGCACTCTATGATGTTCCCATGACAAAATCGCCTCATGATGCATTTCCCAGAACACAGCCCCATCCTTTTACAGCACATGACTGTATTTTCATTTCAGATTCTATACAGTAGAAACCCCCCAGAACAATATTGCTTACGTGTTTGCCAGTTGTAGGTCTGTGACACTGTTAAATCTCCATACTTGATGAGACACACGAAGCTGTGGTTGCTCGTCACATTGAAATCCAACTCACTGCTAACACTGTAGAGCTTAGTTTCAGGATCTTGAGAAACTGTCGTGTTGATGGCGTTTAATTCCTTTGTATTTTCCAACCAGAAGAGGTGAGGCTCTGGAAAACCTCCAGAGGTTGAGCAAGTTATTCTTCTAATGTTAGAAGATGGAATTTCAGAGGCAGTTATACTAGGTTTAGGGAAGTAAGCTAAAGAAAGAATAAGAATATAATTACATATATTTACCTATCTCTGTGTATATTTATATTCTTGTTTTATATTCTTAATATTTATGTTAAGAATATTTATATTTTATAAATATATTTATAATTTTAAATAATATTTATAATTTTATAATATTTATATTTTATATTCTTAATAAATTATCCAGCTTTAATGAGAATAATAAAATGAGATGTAATTTGCAACTTCCCATAAATCAATAATAGTTATATATATAATCCAAAGAATAACTTATATTTGAGTTGGCTATATCAATTCTTTACCACTTTTGGTAGAGATAGGAGGGTACTTAGAGAAAGGAGAAGTAGGTTAATCTGAATAAATGTTGCCATAAGTACTTGCAATTGTAAGAGATGAAGAGAAAAATAATAGACATTTATTGAGCTCTTGTTTCTTAGGTCTGGACAGCACCTCGTTTGTATTCACAACAGCCCTAGGAGGTAGACTATAGATCAAAAAAGGTAATTTAATATGATTTAACCTAATATAATTTCCATTTTATAAATAATCAAACTGAGGTTTAGCAAAATCATAACCAGCAATGGCAGAACTCAAGTCCTTGGCTGACACCAGAGCCTGTCTTTTCATGGCCTTTCTTTCCTTCTTTCCTTTCTCCCCCAAACTTGAGGTAAACAAGTGGCTCTCTTCCCTTTCATTTATTTATTTATTTATTAAACTATAACTGACACCTGTGAACCCATCATCCAACTCGAGGCTCAGAACACTTGACAGTAACTTAGGTCAATCTACCTGTATGGTCTCACCTGTCCTGTCCCTCTTTCCCCACACCTGCAGTAACCACTACCCTAAGTTTGTGTGTAATATTCCCTTGCTTGTTAAAAAGTACTCTTATACTCAGAAAACCCTGTGTCCAAACTGTACAACATTGAGCCTGTAATTTCAGGCACTATACTTTACTGATTCCCTTGCTGTTTTGATATGCTTAGAAGGGCAGAGAGGCTTCCTAGCATTCCTCCAAGTCATGTGAGGCACCTTTTCATTTGTATATTAGACTCCCCCATAAGATACTAAAGTACACACAAAGTATAGGGAACATTCTGCAGAGAATGTAGCAGAAAGCTCCCCTACTTTCTTCCTAACTTATTCTTAAAGGATTTAACTTCTCAGCATGAATGTGAGAATCCCCTCATACCTCATTCCAGAGAGTCCCACAGAGATGTTGTACAGCATAGTGGCCATCAAGAGCAGGTTTTAAAACCAGTTCTGCCTTGTGACCCTGGGCCAATGACTTAACCGCTAGTCTTAGTTTGCTCATCTACAAGATGGGATAATAATACCTGCTTTCCAAGGTTGTACGAATGAACTGACGTCATTAATATAAATCACTTAGCACAGAGCCTGACACACAGGAAGTCAGGCGATAGATTTAGGTTGGTCCTAAATTTGTCCTTTCTTACATGAGTCTCCTCATTTAAATCAGGTTGCCAGGCAAAGGCTCCCAGGAATGCCTGGTGGCCTCAGGAACAATGAGGAAAGGGGGAAGTCATGACAAATGATTGCAATTGCCAGGGAAGGGAAAAACCTGGATTTGGTTGGTGTTTTCTTAAAGAACCTTGTCCGTAAATGAAGTTTGACATGTTCCTGAGCCATTTTTAGTTGGCATTATCTTCTACTTGTTAATTTATCCTGTAAGACCAAATCATTACACTAGCATCTGACATCAATAATATTCCATTGTTTCTTATAACACCAAAATGTCATATGTTATAACAGGAAGAACAAATCTAAACTCATAACCTAAATTATGATTCGTGTTCATTCCTGTGCTCTGCTTTTCTAAGAAATAAACTACAAGAATGCCATATATACCAGGAATTGTATTAAAAATCATCTTTTCAGGGTCTCACTGGGCTGAGAACAGCCTCAGGCCTGTCTCCTGTCCTTTCCATAAAGTGATCTGTTTAGGGCAGGCATCCTCAAACTACCGCCTGCGGGCCACGTGTGGGCACATTTATCCGGCCCTCCGGGTGTTTTTGCCACCGCTGCCTGTCCCGCTTAGCTGCCGACTGTTCCGGCCCACAGTGCGCACTCTCCAACTGTCTGAGGGACAGTGAACTGGCCCCCTGTTTAAAAAGTTTGGGGACCCCTGGTTTAGGGTAACCCCTCCCAGGGGCTTGCAAGACTGTGTCTTTTGTATTTCATTTTAATCAGTTAACCCATGATGTTTTCACCACTCTTAATGAGGAAGGGTAAGAATGATTTATGAGAGGAAGAGGTACACATGTTTTAGAAAGTTAAAAATTCATTAACCTGGTTAATTTGTTAACTAATATAGCTAGTTCTCAAATGTGCAGGTTAAGGGAGGTTTACATATACTGCTACGCTGATATTATATTATCATTTTTACAATCTTAGACAAGTGTAAGGTAACCAACTCATCCTAGTTGCCTGAGGCTTTCCCAGTTTTAGCACTGAAAATCTTGTGTCCCAAGGAAACCCCTCAGTCCTGGGCAAAAGAGGACAGTTGGTCACTCTGGCCAAATGAGAGCTTGTTTAATTCCTTGCTTCTCAAACTGTGGTCCTCAGCAGCAGCACAGGCATCATGTGGGAGCTGCTTAGAAGCACAGAATCTCAGATCCAATGCCCAGACTTGCTGAATTTAAATCTGCATTTTAACAAGACCCCCCAAGGGATCCACAGGCACATTAGCATTTGAGAAGCACTGCTTTTAATTGACTCAGTTTCCAACTGGGTCAAATTAAGCAAGTGAGTTTTCCCTTACCTAATTTTTGTGCCCTCACCCCTTTGAGGACCCCAGCAATCTCATGTTGCCCCTTAATTGTTCTTGGTCTCCTATAGTGATCTGCTATGAGGGCCTGCCCTCCCTGAAACATTTCCTCTTCTCCTTCTTGGATTTTCTTCTTTATCTTTCTTCTAAAATTTACCTGACCTGATTCTATTTCTCACTGCAGTCCCCAACCTTTTTGGCACCAGGGACAAGTTTTGTAGAAGACAATTTTTCCATGGACTCGGGGTGGGCAGGAGGGGGCAGGAATGGTGAGGGATGGGAAGCAGCTATAAATCAAGATAAAGTTTCCTTCCACTCACCCACCTCTTGCTGTACAGGCCAATTCCTAACAGGCCACTGACCAGTACCAGTCTATGGCCCAGAGGTTGGGGGCTGTAGTGTTAGAGGACTATATATCTAATGTAATTAACTAATATAGGCTGATATGCTTGTAGTGCCACCTCCCCAAGGTAATACATTTTCTTTTCTTTTGTAGCAAAATGTTTACTTATTTTGAGCATCTAGGTGCAGATGGGTGGAGGTTGAAAAAGGTGTCCACACATTTTCATTTTAAACATGGATCTTGTATGGGAAAAATGCTGAAACTAACAGAAATAGCTATAATGATGAGAATTTCAGAAATTAATGCAGGTGAAAATTTTGGAGGAGGTAGGCTTCTTAATATCCCTCAAATCACATCACCATATAATCATTTGCTATATCCTTTAGTAAGAGAAAACACAGAGTGCAGTTTAAAATAGTTCCATGCGTGTAACTTACACTTCCCCCCTAAGTTTTAGGTGTGATCTGGCTGCTACAGGTAAAGATTCACAGCTGATGACCAAAGCAGTGACAGTGAGGGATCCACTAAGGATCTGCTCAAGTTATCAGTTATCAAGGTTAATCATTATGTTTTATTAAGTAAAAAGGTTTGTTTTTCACCAAAGGCTCAAGTGCCCGGGAAGAAAAGGAAATGTGTTTGAATTTCAGATGTGAGAGAATGCCCCAGGGCTATAACTACACAACAAGGGCTGGCGTTCCATCGGTATCCTCTAGTACTACCCCCTGTGACTAAAGCAAGGCTCCTTCCCTCCCTAAATGAGAAATGCTTGTCCTTTCTGGTAGGTGTATAAACAGGGCTTTGGTTTGTGAATTAGTTTTCTTCAAAGTTATGCATCCAGTTCTCTAAAACCTAACTTTGCAGGAGTGACTATTAGATGAGAGCTTCAAATATGCAATAAATAAATTGCATAAATAAATGCAATAAATAAATTACCACTTTGAAAACATTAGGACAGTAAGATAGCCATAGTAACAGACATTCAAATACTGCTTGAAAAGATTTATGCCTGCATTGCTCTTTTACCTTTTCAACATATATATTGAAAAGGCATATATTGCTGGATCAAGTGCAGTGGATAGTACAGCTACGTTAGACCAAAGATGTCACCTGGTGATTCAGAGGCTTTTTAGGTCATTACAGTGCCCCAGGATGATTGTCATAGGGGGATTGTCAAAGTACAAGAAATACACATTATTAGGTATTTCTAGGACCTCTTGGAGAAATCAATTAGGGTTTATTGTAAAACTAGAGACTCAACCCTAAGAAATGAAGAGAAGTACATCCCTCTTTGGTAAAATTTCCACCTAAATGAATAGGCATGTGCTTTAGGGCATTAAGAACCTGCTGGCCTAAAGTAAATCAGAAGACCCCACCAACCTCTGACTGATAACGTCACCGAAGTCAAGTGTTCCAGTTTGTAAGACCCTTTTTCAAACTTCTGAACGACACAATCATATTTGCCCATGTCGGACAGGCGCAGATCCAGGATCACAATGGAGAGGTTGTTAGTGATGTCAATCATGGTCCGGTTCTTGTACTCGGGCCACACTTTCCTTGACCCAGGTGTGACACTCAGCACCATATCACGGTCCTTTTGCCAGTAGATGCGAACTCTCTCCAGTTCTTCGACAGAAATGTTGTACTCACAGGACATTATTACCATTTCTTTCACTGCCTTGATCACCTGGCTGGCACCTAAGGAGAGGCAAACGGAACAAGACTCTATATTTATTAAACACAATTCCTGCATAAGCAGGAATCCAGACCTGGCAGTAACAGAACTCAGAGGGTTCTAAGCATGATCAGAGAATCCAGTTGGATTTTTTTTTGTGGTCCCCATGCTTTTTATCCTCCCTATATATTTTTTCATTGTGGTAAAAAAAAAAAAATAAGCACAACATAAAAGTTATCATCTTAACCATTTTTAAGTATATAGTTCAGTAGTGTTAAATATTCAAGTTGTTGTGAAACAGATCTCCAGAACATTTCATTTAGCAAATCTGAAAGTCTGTGCCCATCAGACAACTCCCCCTTGAGCCTCCCCCCAACCTCTGGTAATTGTCATTCTGTTGTTTGTTTCTATGAATTTGACTTTATTTTTTTGAGTGAGAGGATTACAGGTGTGAGCCACCACACCTGGCCTGAATTTGACTTTAGATACCTCAAACAGTGCAATCATATAGTATTTGCCATTTTATGGTGAGCTTATTTGACTTAGTATAATGTACTCAAGGTTTATCTATGTTGTAGCATATGACAAAATTTCCTTCCTTTTTGAGGACTAATAATGATATATTAAGGATAATGAGTAACATTCCATTGTGTGTGTGTGTATATAAATATATATATAAATATATACCACATTTTGTTTGTTTGTTCATCTGTTGATGGACATTTGGGTTGCTGCTATGAATGTCAGTGTGCAAATATCTCTTCAAACCCCTGCTTTCAATTCTTTTGGATATATATACCCAAAGTGGAATTTTGGGGTTACATGATAGTTCTATTTTTAACTTTTTGAGGAACTTCCATACTATTTTCTATAACAGTTGCACCTCCAATGGTTTTTAAAGATTTTAGAAGTCATTGTTCAGAAAAACGAAATATGGGCCGGGCGCAGTGGCTCGTGCCTGTAATCCTAGCCCTCTGGGAGGCTGAGGCAGGCGGATGGTTTGAGCTAAGGAGTTCGAGACCAGCCTGAGCAAGAGTGAGAGCCCCATCTCTACCAGAAACAGAAAAAATTAGCCGGGCATGATGGCACATGCCTATAGTCTCAGCTACTTGGGAGCCTGAGGCAGGAGGATTGCTTAAGCCTAGGAATTTGAGGCTGTCATGAACTATGATTGTGCTACTGCACTCTAGCTTGGGCAACAGAGTGAGACTCTGTCTCAGAAAAAAAAAAAAGAAAGAAAAGAAAAACTAAATATGATTGCATAAAAAGATAAATTTGGCTTTCAAAACAATTAAGATATATCACTAAAATCAGACTCATGGACAAATAATAAAATAAACTGCCCCTTTTCATTTTTCTTGCGGATTTTCCAATGGCATGCAGAATTTAGGATCAATATGAGCTTTATCTCAAACCAGGCAATTTTTTAGTTCTCTTATTTCTTATTTGCTTCATCTAACATAATGCCATCCCCAAGAGAAGCCAGCCCCCACCAAGATACTGGGGAGAGTGATGGGGGAGGCTGAGGTGTTGCTGCCCCCCTGTCTAGATGCCCTATGTTGAATCACTCTTCATACCATCTGTCACCTTCTTTTTTGCTTCCTCTGTGGCCACTCTATGGAGGAGAACAAGTGCTATTTCACTTAATCCCCCTAACAACCCCATGAGATATGTATTATTATCCCTATTTTATACATGAGGCAACTGAGACTTTGAGAAGTTCAGGAAGCCAAGGGCAGGGCAGGTCAACCTAAGATTCCAAGTGCCTATGGCTGATTTTCTTTTTCCCTTTTTTTTGAAACAGAGTCTCACTCTGTCGGCCAGGCTAGAGTGCCGTGGCATCAGCCCAGCTCACAGCGACCTGAAATTCTTGGGCTCAAGCGATCCTCTCAGCCTCCTGAGTAGCTGGGACTACTGGTCACCACACCCAGCTATTTTTTTTTTTTTTTTTACTATTTTTAGTAGAGACGAGGTCTCACTCTTGCTCAGGATGGTCTTGAACTTGAACTCCTGAGCTCAAGCGACCCTCCCACCTCAGCTTCCCAGAGTGCTAGGATTATAGGCGCGAGCCACTGCCCGGCCCCAGGTGCCTATGATTCTGCAGTCGAGAGGAAGAATAAGGGAGGGAGTGTTTACTCATCAACAGCACCAAAATTCCTTATCAGACTATGTTTTTGATTTTTGGTTCAGAAGGCTTAGTCACTCTTCCCATGCTGTGCAGGACCTAAAATCACACCCTCTTAGGCCCCAGCACCTCCCCCACCCAGTGCTCTCCTGCTGTGTCTTCCTTGCCCAGTATCCTCCTGAGCCACAGAAACCCCCACGTGGACGCCCATGTCCAAGGACTTCATGTCCAGGCCCTCTCTCCTCTTGGGCAGCAGGACCGTGGGGCACTAGCACCTTCCCATCTCACCAGCTATTCTCAAGCCTCTGTCAGACTGGTTATGGCCCAACCACAGCACTGAGGAAGAGGGTTTTGTGCTGGTGGGTATTTGCATAGTAATGTGAGGTAACTCAGAATGTGGCCAGTCTCTGCTTTAAGGAATATCAATGAAACTGAGAGGGCAGAAATGAAAGGATGTATCTGAAGGGAGCGTATTTCAAAGTGAAACTATAATAGCTAAAGATCTAGCTACAACCTGGACGCTCTTAGGGGTACAAGGAAAGAAAATGGTATGTAAAAAGAGCATGGAATATGCATTCCTGATGACATGGAGTCTAGTCCCAGCTCAGCCACTTGCTGATTGATCTGTTTCCTTATCTGTAAAATGAATATGATATCTACCCATCAGGATCACTGGAAAATAAAGTTCAAGTAAATGAAATGAATAGAAAAGTCCCAAGGACATAGAAGTCTTCTGTAAGAGTCTCCTTTTTTCTCTCTCCCTCCTCCTGCCACCAACTCCTGCCACCAACTCCTGCCCTCTAGTTCCTTTCATCTCACTCTGGGACTACATCAAATACATAGGAGTCTGGGCTTGCTCTGGGCCAGACAGAGCAAGAATGGGGCCCATTTCCTGGAGCGCCAAGTAATAGGGATTTTCCCCACTGAACTGTTTGTTCCTGCCCCCAGATGATCCAATGTTTCAAACAGATTTTGACATGTGGTGACGTTTGCCAAGGAGAAATCGTAACTGAAAGAGAAGCTAACTAATTTCAATGACGGTTCCTAAGGAGTTTTTGTCCAGCCATGTGAGGAAAAGTGTGGGTGTCTCTAAAGGTCAAAGCACACCATCAATGGGCTGTTTGACGTTCCTCTCTGAAATCCGCTTCTCACCAGACATGCTGCTGAGGAAGAACCAGACTAAAAAGAGGAACCTAAAATCTTCCCTGCGCTTTGGGAATTCCCACAGGGACCTGGCTTCCATACGCGGGGGCGCCACGACACAAGGACAGAAACCAGCTGAAACATCTCTGAAGGGTTTTGTCTGCTTCAGTGACTCCAGTGGGGAGAGTCAGTTCCCAGAAATCTCAGCATTACCGTCTAAAACCCGATTGACTTTCTGAGCTTGCTTTCCCATTTCACAGACGGTCACAGTAACACCTACCTAACCCAGGGGGTGTGAGGAGTCAAACAAAATACTGCACGTGAAACTCCTCCGTAGTTCCGGGACATTGGCGGAGCCAACGTCCTCCCCAGAGACCCACACAGCCCAGGTCTCGCTCTGCTCACCTCTGCTCTCGTAGCCCCTTTGCAGAGAGGCCTTCTCTGACTCTCCCTAAACATGCCACCCTCCCTGAGCACATCCATCCTGCTACCCCTCAGTCTCTTGCCCTGATTTGTTTCTCTTCAAGCTTGTCCCCAGCTGACATAAACTTTTACAAGTGTGATTTCTATTTACATGAATATGTATGGTATGTAATTACTTATGGGGCCATGAGAGCAGAGGCTTTGTCTGATGTGTCCATGGCCATATCTGCAGTGTCTAGAACAGGGTCTGGCCCTTAGCAGGTGCTCAAAAAATACTTGCTGGCTGCGTGCCTGGGCATGAGGAGATGAGGTCTGGCTCATCTGCTACATATGAGAATCATAACCTTGAACCAGTTAACCTCTTTGGGCCTCAGGTACCATTTCTATAAAATGGGCATAATCCTATTACTATAGTTCGACTGTGTTCCCCAAAGTTCACGTGTTAGAAACTTAATCCCCAATGAAACAGTGTTGAGAGGTGGAACCTTTAAGAGGTGATTAAGACATGAGGGCTCTGCCTCTGTTATCTTGGGAGTGGGTTTGTTGTGGCAGGAGTACCTTCTTTATAAAGGATGAGTTCTACCCCCTTCCGACTCTCTGTCTTGGACATGTTCCCTTGCCCTTCCAACTTCTGCCATGGAATGATGCAGCCAGAAGGGGTTTGACCAGAGTCAAACCCCTCCACCTTGGACTTCCCAGCCTCTAGAACTATAAGAACTAAATCTCTGTTCTTTATAAATTACCCAATCTTAAGTATTCTGTTATAGCAGCACAAAACAGACTCAGGCAACTATCTTCCCTTCTACACCTAATTATCACAGGGATCATATGAACGCAGATGGGAAGTGCTTGCTAACCACAGAAAGCTATACAGATTTTTAGTGGGGCCGTTCTCATAGATAGCAGCCTACTTTGTTGCACCACACCCATGATGGGACCAGCACCACCATGGTGACTGGCTGACCCTTGGACTGAGTTGAGGGTCAGGCCCATAACAGGCAGGGGTGCCCGCCCTGCACTGACGCCAGCAGCAGTAGAAAGGGGCAGAGGCCTGAGAGGAGAAGGGGAGAGAAGGCAGAGATAAAAGGTGATGCTGCTCACCTCTCCTGATGAATGTGTGTACACTGCCCACCTGTGTGGCACATTGGGGACACTTACAGTCCTGTCCCCACCCCTGCCTCTCCTGATCCCTCGGCCACCCCTCCGCCCTGAATCACTTTGACTCCCAAGTGCTAAATCTGCGAGAGGATTTACGAACAAGTGTAGAAACCACTAGTTTTAGAGAAACAATGCACCTCTCAAGAACTCAATCTACAGTAGAATATTATCTGGCCATAAAAATGAATGAAGTACAGTACATACTACAACATGGGTGAAAGTTGAAGACATAATACACAGAGAAAAAAGGACACAAAATGTCACATATTATAAGAAATGTCCAGAGACAAATTCCTAGAGACAGAAAGTAGCTTAGTGATTACCAGGAGATGGGGGTAGGCGAAGATGGGGGGTGACTGCTAATGGGCGTGGTGTTTCTCTTCGGGGTGTTGGAAATGTTCTGGAATTAAATAGTACTGGTGGTTTTACAACATTGTGAATACACTGAAAAACCACCGAATTGTACACTTTGAAATTGTCAGTTTTATGTCATTGCAAATAAAACATGCAGGGAAAAAGAACCCAATCTAGGAAGACGCGAACCTTCCCTAACCTCTCCATATAGGATGGAGGCGGTGTGGGTGCAGGGGCCTCCCCAGGGCACTTCCAGCGAGTTCAACCCCAGCAGCAGTCAGAGGGGCTGCCGGGTGGGGGGTCCGAGCGCGTTCACACTTCTCCTGGTAGACCACGGAGAGAAGCAGCGGGCACAGCATCCGACAACTTGCCCAGCGACCTGACATACGTGACATCACTGAGGACTTACGTATGCTCTGAAGAAACATTTTCCATGGCTATAAAAGACATATACATTATATTTTGAAAGAATAGAAAAATATAGACAAACATAAAATTCACCTATTGTCTCACTGCCTGAAGATTTTACAGTTGACGGTTTGTGCACACCCTTCCTCCTATGGAAATGACCTTTTTGGACAATTCTTCTAAGCATTTGATTAAATGAACCAGTGATGACAGGGCTGGTGTTGGCCCTGGGCTGGGTGCTATAACCACACACCTCTCTGGCAGCCAGGAGATTTGGACTTGTCACCTGATTTTTATGTCACTTCTGACTTTGTCTTCATTTAAGACCCAGCTCTTATACTCTGCATAAATACGATCCTTACTTTTTTTTCTCTCTTTGAGGAGCATTTATATCCTTAAAATGCTCAGGGATCCAGGCATGGTGTCTCACGCCTGTAGTCCCAGCAGTTTGGGAGGCTGAAGCCGGAGATTACTTGAGGCCAGGAGTTCAAGACCAGCCTGGGCAGCATAGTGAGACCCCCATCTCTACAAAAAGTAAAAAAGTTATCTTGGTGTGGTGTTGAATGCCTGTAGTTCCAGCTACTCAGGAGGCTATGACAGGAGGATCTCTTGAGCCCAGAAGTTCAAGGTTACAGTGAGGTATGATCATACCACTGCATTCCAGCCTGGGCATAGAGCAAGACCCTATTTCTAACAAAAAATGCTTAGGGACTTGAACAGTTCTTATCAGGGTAATGATGGCAAAAACTGTCACTCATGGGACCCTTTGGCTGGCAGCATTCTGACAACAGTGGTACACTTATTACACTCGATTAACCTATATTGATGCATTATTATCACCCAAAGTCCATAGTTTATGTTAGTGTTCATCACTCTTGATGTCGTACATTCTGTGGATTTGGACAAATTTATAATGACTTATATCCATCATTACAGTATTACATAAAATAGTTTCATATCACTAAAAAAAATCCCCTGGGCTAGAAACTGCAATTTAGCAAAACCCCCAGGTTTTGCTGGGGGGGCTGGCATGTGTAATAAAAGCATGAGCAGCGCTGGGGCAGACAATGCCACACCCCTGCAGAGCCCTTCTGGCTCCCCAGTGCTTTCTGCACAGCATGCAGATTCCTGACCTAGGCACCCAAGCCCTGTGGGGTCTGGCCCCTGGTGCTGCCCAGTCTGGACCTATCTTCCCATCTTCCCCCAGCTCGCTTCCCTCATCACTGGCAGGGGAAGAGGGCACTTCCTCTGACAGGCCTGTTCCTTGCCTTCAAAGCACTTCTCTCTGTTTGTTGGTCACACATTCACACATTCATTTGAGTGACTATTGGGTTACTTTTCTTCTTCCTCTTAATGACTATAAATTCCATGAAGGCAAGGGCCATGTCCATTTTGCTCACAATTTGTCCCTAGGACCAAGAAAAACTCTTGTATGTAGGAGATGTTCAGTATTTGTTGAGTTAATGATTAAACAAAAGAGTGAACACCTGTGCCAGACGCATCCTTACCTTTGTGCCTTTGCCCAGGCTGTGGCCCTCCCAGAAGTCTCAGCCCATCACCCATCCACATCCATACAGCCCAGCCTGCTCCAGCCCAACCTGGTCCCTCCTTTCCCAGATCTTGGGCTCTTTCAGTCAGAACAAAGCACTTTATTGTCTGTTGCTTATTTTATGTGGGTTAGTTTTGCTTTCCCCAACTAACATATGCAAACCTCTTTGAGGACGGGAATCCCAGGCCCACCTGGCACACAGTAGGTGTTCAGACCTAAGAGGCTCATGGATTGCTTCCCTGACTCCATCACAGTAGTGATAAAATCTGGATGTAGCACTAGCACAAGGTGGTTTCCTAAACATCTTTCTTTAGCTCAAAAATCATCTCCTTCTATTTACCTCTGACTCTAATTTTCCTAGTACAGTTGCCAAACCCTGGGTTTTAATTTTCCTTTTATGTTTTCTTTCTCCTCTCTCTCAGTTCTGGGAAGCCTGTACAAATTTCCTTCTAAATATTTTCAATTCATTCAGACTCCCCAGAAGACTGGTCTGGGAGCATTTCCTCAACATCCCAAAAGAAAACTGTAAGTGCTGGGAACATAATATCACCTTCAAATATATACAAAATCTGATGTGTGAATTGTGAAACTTAAGCCATGTTTCTCTTGGTTCTGTAACAGTAGATAATAGCAAACTTTAAAACTCTGGACAGAAAAATTAAAATGACCACCATGGCAGACAAGTAATCTGCGTGCTTCCAGCTCTTCTTCCCTTCCCTCTTCCCACTCTCCACAACTCAGACGTCCCAGGCAAGGCTCCAGCGGGCAGCTTTTAAGACAAGGACCTTGGATAGTAGGGTCTTTACAGACTGGGAAACCACACTGGAGCCCAAGCCTCCTCTTTATTTTGGGGACACCAGGAGGTATGCTACTCTGTAGGAGGTACATCTTTTGTTTTATGACTTTAAAAAAAGCCAGAACCATCCTGCCAGCAGGATGAGCCTCACCCTTCTTGGCAGTCCTGCAAGTTCAGCACCTTTAAGACCACCAGAGCAGCAACAAAAGCCTCCAGAAGTAAAACATTTGCAGGGCACATATGAAATACTATTCATCAAGTTAAAAATAACTAAAAATATAGTTTTGTGCTAAATCTGATACCATTTAATGTCAGATGTCAGTGTTGAAAAAGGGTATCAGCACCCAAAGCATAAGAATAAATATCAAGAGAAAAGTTTGACATACAGAAGACTAACCCCTACCACCTTCCTCCTCCTCAAACCAGAAAGCTCATCATCATTCAGTTTTAGAGGCAGAGCACTCTGGCTGAGTGGTGTCATGGAAATGAAGTTTGGGAACTGGACCCTGAGGACAACGCCCTCTCCCACCACAAAATGTAAATAAGCATCTACTGTGTTTCCCTGAAAATAAGACCTAGTGATGGGTGTGGCTACACAGCGTATCTGCACAACCCATGCATTTAGTCGCAGAGAGGTAAAGAAAACAGCAAGCTCTTCTCATCTGCCCCATCGTGACAGCTACTATCTCAGAGGTGACCAGAAAGGTGTGGGCAGCCCCACCAACAAGGTCGGCTCCCCCTGTCAGGTCCCGGCCATCCTGTGCATGCTGCAAGCTGAGGCTTTGAGGGGAAAGTTTCCTCAGTGAAGTGAGGAGCGGGACGCTCCGCTTTAGGTATTGTGTGTCCCCAGGGGGAAGAAGGAAAGCTGTGGCTGCCATGTTACTCAGCACTTTGGGCCTCTCTCACACCCCAGGAACACCAGGGGTTAGGGGAAAAGCTTCCGCAAGCAGTCTTCTACTGAGCCCAGAGAGATCATTTGTACCATACTTTAAAAAAAAAAACACACCCCCTGAAAATAAGCCCTAGGGTGTCTTCTTGAGGAAAAATAAATATAAGACGCTGTCTTATTTTAGGGGAAACATGGTAGTGTTTACAACTCCAAGCTGTCCTTCTGAATCGGCTTTGTACTTTTGTTAAAATCCTTCCCTTCCTTTAAGGTTTGGTTTCTTGAGATAACTTGGCCTCTAACTTGCTATGTGACCGTAGCAAGTCTTTTAACATCTTTGGACCACAGTTTCTCATCCTTGAAATGGACTGGAAACACCCTGAAGGTCCCCTCCTGCTTATAGGGTGATGGAAGGAAACGGCACAAAGAACATTGCTTCCTTTCTCTTAACCCTGTAGCAGTGGACTCAGTTAAGTTCCCGAAAGTCGCTTACCTGAGCAGGGGTAGCAAATACCAGCCAGCACCAAGAAACTGAGGTAGAAACACTTGCACACTTGTGTGTAATCCATTGGCTTAGGTGGGAGATGGCAGCTCCCAAGTATGAAGCAGGCAGGGCTGAACACAATCCAGTTGCCCCACGTAGAGGATTCTCCACCGATGTTTATAAAACACACTGCTGAGAGACTGGATAGTGTTCCTGGGTCTCCAAAAGTTGTGGATTTATTTTCACAGCCTGGAAAAGAAAAAAATACAAGTTATCCCAGAAGGAAGGCCTGCCTACTGTGGGTTGTAAACTCCTGAGTTGCCTGCCTAAAATAAGCTGGGAAGCTTAACCTGAGTGACTTCTAAGCCAGGGTGTGACCCTGAGGAAAAGCAAGTCAGGGAATCCTGTGAGAAGGTGGTGAGCATGCCTTGTGCTGTTCTGAGAACCAACCATAGCATTTCCATGAAAGGGCCCTCTGCTTAATAGCTGTGGTTATGACTTTGTTAGAAACACACTGAACAGAAGAATCCTTAATATCAATAGCCAACCCATGAAAGTTCAGATCCTCTTCTGAACATACCAAGAAATGCAGAGGAACCAGCAAGGGTGTCCTTCATCTGAGGCAGTACTTAAGTTATGAAACACCTTCTTTTTTAACATAGTAATACAAGAAAAAAAAAAAAACGTATCTCAATTGTTAAACACCTCTACTCAAATAATATGTCATCAAGGAGTGGAAGTTCTCAACACAAAAATCTATCGGTAAACAGGGAGGAAAAACAAAGACACACTGCAAATGTTACTTATGTAAATCATTTACTGTAACATGAAGAGGCTGGAGGTTTCTTTCCCAGTAAATATATCAAAATTGGGAAATGAAAATGAATGCCGTACCCCACTGTCACCCTCTCGGGCTGATGCCATAGAGTTCAGTGCTGCCCAGAAGATGCTTGGATCTATCTCCTCTTTGGGGCCCACCCTGGAGCTAGTGTTCCAGCCACCTCAGATTTTCTTACTAGCCACAGTCTGTTTTTAGCAAGATTAAATTGAAGACAATTATTCACCAGAATTTCACTGCCTGGACAAACTCAAATTTGGCCCACAAAAATAATATCCGCTACCATCTAGAAAATTTAAAAATAATGGGTTATGATTCTCATGGGGATTCTCCAGATGTGTTGGAAAGCCACAGCCTCCCATGGAAATGAAGGCCCAGAGCCTCCTTGGATGCGTCCCGGAGGTAGTGGGATGCCATGTTTGTTTAACAATCAGTCAGGATGCTGGTAACTAGTTCTCCCAAGCTGTACCATAGTAAGATAATAGTAAATGTACTTACCAATGAAGAAAAATTCCACTGTTTCTTTTGTATTAAAAATCAGAGCCCTCACTTCTGAGATGTTCTCTTTGTGCTGTCCTCAAAATAATGGTAAGTCACTTGGTTCTTTGGGTGAGCTATCAAAGAGGTGCTGTTTCTACCTTCCAACTTCCTGTTACTTGACAGAGGATTTGACCTCTTGCAGAAGCTTAGTCAACCAACGCGGGGGCGGGTGTGCAGGGCGTGGCGTATGGTTTGAGGAAGCTCCCCCCATGGCTCTTTTCTGCCCCTGTCTGCCTCGAGGGTGTGGCCAGGACCAATCACGTGGCAGCTTCCCTCGCCACGGAAAACCCGCTAGCACACACTGAACACTGAGGGCCTGGGCAGCCTGGGCGGAGGGAAGAAAGGTGCCCCAGGAGAGGCTGGAGCAGCCCGCTAGCCGTGCTGGGCGCTGGGGGTGAGATTTAGGGGCTGGCTGTTTGTTTCTGTGCTGGTCTCAAGTTCTGTTTTAGCACCCAGAGTTACTCCTCCTGAGTCATTGTCAGGCCACTGCAGGAGTGGGTCGTTGACCCCATATGTAGGGGAGACTTTCTGGAAAGCGCTCAACTCACAAGACCACCCTCAGCTGCACTCTCACCCTTCCATCCCACCATGCTCACAGGGTGGGCTCCAGGCAGCCATGCTGGACAGTGAATTCCAGTCACCCACCTGTGGTTGAGTGCACTTCAGGGGAGCACGGTGAAAGCACTGAGGGGTGGGGTGGGGAAGACTTTGGTATCTCCCAGCACTCCCATTTCCAAGCAGCCCTCCCCATGCACCCCTATGTAGAAATCTGGAGCACCCGTGGGTAAGCAGCTGACCCATGCTGACCCAGGCTGCACAGGCGGAAACTGAGAGCACCTGTGTGGGCCTGCACTTTTCACAGTCTGCCTCTGGCCCCGCCAGGGCTCCTCTGTTGTCTCGGCATGGGACACCTTTGAAAGTTCCCACTCAAGCACGTGCAACCCAGGAATGTAGAGAAGTCAGTGCTCACGGGATGGGGCTACCTTTGACCACTGGGGGCCAGCAGCTGATGGATAACTGCTTCCCCCTGTGTCTCCCCAGTGGCGAGGTCTGAGAGACATTTTCTCAGGCTCCCCAGAAGGTCTTAGTGGGATCGAGCACCAGTGGCCTTTAGCAGCCGTCACCTAGTAAGGCTTCCTTGTTCTGGCTTGCCCCCACTCTGTCTCCCTTTCCCTGTCCTGAACCACTGGACTCATGTTTCCAAATGAACTACTTTGCTCAAGCCTTTGTCTCTAGCTTTGCTTTCTGGAGAACCCAGGCTGAGACAGCAGGAATACTTGGTATGGTAGAGATACAATAGTTATTCTTCTAAAAGAAATGTGCAGAAGTAGAAAGGTGAGTCAATTTAGAGAAAAATAAATGATAGTAGACACGGCATACAAATGTGGCAAACATTGTGAATATGGTATAGAAATGTCTGAAATACTCATTTGAGGCTTTTAGAAAGCAAACTTCCCTAGCAAAAATCACAATGTGAGCTGCTATCCATCCTATATTTTTCAGTGTTATCGAAGGCATTGAGGTCCTTTAAATAAAAAGCTGACTGGGAGGGATGAAAGCATGAGGCAGCAGGGTCCATAGGATGGGGAGAGTAAAAATCACCTTAAAAGAAGAGAAGGAAAGAATAAAGGCTTTTTCCACTTGGTGGTTGTGCTTAGGCTCTGATCAGGCCTGTGGTGTGGCAAACACAGGTCCTCTCTAGAGGGACTGTGTCCCAAGGCTCAGTTAGTGCTGCCTCTGAAAAATCGCTGGTTGGGTTTGGGACAAATCTTATGCACGGAGTGAATGGCAGCTCAAACCATGTGATCCGATGGCCACAGCGCTAAAGCCTCAGTCAGGACTCCTGGCACCCACAGCGCACGCATCCATTCAGGGAAGACAGGCTCTTCGAACTGAGGTACTTGTATCCCTGAGGAGACTTTCGAAGGGTATGTAGACACTGATAGATTTAAGAGAATCAAGTTCTAGATTTTCACTTTATGTATTCTTTCTTAAAACTTGCATGAGAAGGACCTTGACCTTCACCGTATTTCAAAAGGAAGGCATACCTCTCACCCAACCTGAATCTTACTGTGGTGCAATGTTCTAGAAAGGAAAAAATCTCAGGGGGAAAAAAAACACAATGGGGATAGTTTGAAATATTGGTGCTTCAATTAACATTGCCCCTTAAATTGAGACAGTGTAAGCCCAAGGTGGGGCCTGTGTCTCTCCTGTCTTGTCCGTGTTTCCATTCGGTAGAGATGTGGCGTTAGAGACAGGTGTATGGGAGTGGGGTGGCAGGACTGACAGCAGCTTTTACTCAGTGAACTTGCGTTTCTACTTCCCATGTGTTGTTAAAGATGCCATCCTTCCCACGGCAGCTAGAAAGAGAGCAGAGGGCTTGGGTGAGTGCGCTGACTACAGTGAGTCATCCCACAGCAAGTTAGGCAGGGCTTGGGGGCAGGGGTAGGGGGGGTGACTGCTGTGTCAGCCTTCCACCTGCAATGCCCCAGGTCTACAAATCATGCAGGCAAGACTTGCAAGGACAGGCCCCCACTGCACCATTTCACCTTCCCTACTAGAAGGGGCTTTCCGAGCACCCTCCTACCCCTGGGTCAGGTTCTGGGTCTCAGATGCATGTTTTGAATAATTACTGGGAGGAAGGAGGTGACAACTTCCACCTTACCTCTAATAAATCGACATGACATTCTCAAGTAAAAGGCATATTACATCAGAGGTAAGTTTGTGCTTTATATTTTCTTGAATGTTTATTCAAATCTTAGAAGAAAGGTTTTAACTGATTTTTGCCAATTTAGATTTTACTCAGTACATGTAAGAATGATGTAATTTTTTCAAAGTGACAATTTTACAATATGTTGGAAATTATGTCCTTTGCAGATATTTAAAGTAAAATTACAGATGTCACCTTTAAAATGAGTAAAGAAATACCTAGTTTTATACATTTCCTGTGGGGATATATGAGTACAAATTTTGAAGACCACAAGACACCCTCACATTTTAAGAGTCCCAGTAAAATCCTAACCTGCCTTGGAGAAAAAACATATTAAACAACCTTTTGCTATTAACACCTTGATGTGACTTAAGAATCTCAGCAAGATTGGGAGGAAAGGGAGCAGATAGGTACTTTTCACTAGTTTTCCCCTTCCTGACTGCAAAATACAGAGGCTTCTCTTCCAAGAGTATGCACTAATGGGATGTGTTTAATCCCTCTTCCTCCTGAGACACCATTAAAATAATAGTTTAAAAAAATTTTAAAGGTGTATCCACAATTATAATGAGACTAGAAGCATGATCTATGGACCAAAGATTTCTGGGGTAAATTTCTAGAGACTAGAAGGTGGATGGAGTGATGGCTGAGGCAGAGTACCCGTATTACTAGAAGGAAAACCCAATCAGGAGTTAAAGGAGTTTGCTCTGAGGAGTAAGCTTGGGGTTAGAGAGGAACAGAGCACATACTACGACTTCTCGGTGTCAGTTCTTCAGAACCACTTGATTTTTAAATCCATCTATAGTTTTACTTTATTAAAAACAAAAGGAATTCCTTTTAACATTTTTATGTGAAAAATTAAAATTAGAAATTTATCAGAGAATATTTTTGTAATTCTAGGGTGAGAAAGACACAAACCCTGGAAGCCACACACGCAGAAAAAAGATATACAGATTTGACTTTATAAAAATTAAAAATATTTACACGATGAAAGACACCATAAATGAAATTAAGACAGTCACAGACTATCTGTAGCGGGCCCTACAGGAAGGGGTGTCTGGGTCTCAAGGGAGAGGCAGCTTTGCCACTCAGGAAGCGCAGGGTGGGGGTGGAAGAGCTGGTGAGAACCCCGCAGGGGAGGCCTCACTCTCTGCTCTGCCTCTGATGTCTATGGAAACAATGGTTTCATCTCTTCTCTTTTGACCTTGGAGCTGTTTCACTTCCTCATGCCGATAAAGCCAGGCTGAAGCTCAGACTTTCTAACCTCCCTTCTGATGTCCACAGGGAGGGCTGGGCTGGATCCTGGCAGTGGCCTTGGAATCCCTGTAAGTTTTGCTGTTTGCACAGTGAGTTCTCAGGGTCCAAGGTTTCAGACAGGACAGCCTAGATGCTGGGAAACCCATTATTGCATTGACAAAAATTTTCAGGGGAATTTTGTTTTTCCTTTCCTTTTCTTTCTTTCTTTTCTCTTTTCTTTCTTTTTCAGACAGGGTCTTGCTCTGTCACCTGGGCCAGAGTGAAGTGGCAACATCATAGCTCACTGTAGCCTCGAATGCCTGGGCTCAGGCAATCCTTCCGCTTCAGCCTCCAGAGTAGCTGGGACTAAAGGTGTACACCACCACAACCAACTACTTTTTCTATTTTTTTGTAGATTTGCTCAGTCTGGTCTCGAACTCCTAGCCTCAATCAATCCTCCCACCTCAGCCTCCCGAAGTGCTAGGTAGGATTATAGGCATGAGCCACTACACAGGGCCTGTTTTTCCTTTTCTAATAACAGGCCCCTCCCAGGGGGTCTGGAAGTTCCTTTTTGGACATGGCTGCAGTCTCAGCAGGGAAGTGTCACAGAAAGCTCTCTGATCACTGTTTCAAGACAATTCTCCAACATGCCCAACCGGCAACCAGCACTGTCCTTTCTGCGGTCTACTGTGGAGGGTTGAAATGCTGCCCTGGCTCCTTTCCCTGCTTTACTCCACCCCGTGTATAAGGCCTGTGCCCTGTATTGGGTGGTCAGACCTAGGCTGAAGACCACAGTGCTCCCCAGTAGTGAAACGGTCTGCTAACGGGGGCGGAAAATGTCATCAGAATGAGAGTGGCCACCTCTTCCCCTTAACAGGCTGTCACACTCTTTCTGGCTCTTTGAGATGGAAATTACCGAAGTGCTTGCAATGAAAAGGGAAGTGGGCATTGAGCACTAAGCCTTGTTCGGACTGAGGGCTGTCTTCATGTTGCCCACTGCACTGTGCCCTCCCTGCCTGCGACTCCTGACAACACCGACCCTCAGCTCCTGCACTTCCTTCCCCATTCTGTCTGCCCATCCAGACAGCTTTCTTCCTTAAAGGACCAGATCTAATGCTACTTCCTCAAGAAGCTTTCCTGACTCTTCCGATCTCAATCTGCTCTTTCCCTTCTCTCA